AAAGTTTTGGAGAAAATTTGTGCTTTTCTTTAAAGGAACTTTGCAATGGATGGTTCAAGCTGAAAAGTCAAGTTATTCGCGTGAAGTTCCAGCCTAGCTTCCCGTGCCTTTTCCTTGTATTTTGCACGAGTAGTATATGTGGCTTAACTGGCCCCTCGTCAATCAAAATCGAGTATTCCAGATTTCGAACACGTGACCAACAAAATGCATGCATGCCCAAATATGGCCAGAAAGAAAACTGGAACGACTAACGGCCGCACATTCCTAACACACCAGAGTATGACGTAATGAGGTGTCACGCACTCTCAAGAAAGAAAAATCACGCCAGATAGTGACATTTGACAAATGAAAAATTGTATTGTTTTGACATATTTACATGGCATGAGATGAGGATGACGCAAGTCGTCACGCGTCCCTAAACATTCCTAACCCTAAGTCAAACTCTAAACTCGAACCCTAACTCTAATCTTTATGTCATCATGACACTTAACGATTGATTGAAATTGTCAGAGCAACAATGTGTCACACCAGAAGAGTCAAAATGGCACATACACCACACAGCTTTTTTATAACAGGAAATTTTAATAACAAAAAGACCTCAGTGTACAGGGAAGAACCCATACTCCAGTCCTGGTGAGAAGCACCCGATTTATTGGAAACAAACACGTACAAAACTTTCCCTCCGAGCGGGAAGTGCTCGATATACAACAATGAATATTAACAGCAGATACATATAAAAAATGTGTGCCTTTTGGAAGGAGATGTGGGTATGGAGACAAATGTGTGTGCAACGGTGACGTAGGTGGGTGAAGGGCCAAAAACTATTTACAACTCCATCGACAGTTCGGTAATGGGGAGGTCCTGCTCATCACAGTTCATGGTTTGTATCCGTAAGGAAATGATTGAAAGGTGACTGGGTCCACCACACGTTTGTCGAACACCAGGCCGTACTTTTTCACATGGGGCATAACACGAAGTCGTTTGGTGGTAGGATCACGTGTAAAGAAACGCGGATTGAGCACCTCCACATTCCGTCGTTCCTCCAATGGCTGACGAATCTCCTCGAGTACATTCTGTCGCATTACCTCATAGTTCAGTTGAGCTGAGCCGAGGACGTTTAAGGTGAAGCCGCGGACCTTACAACACACCTTGCCTGACTTGGTGATATAGCCATAGTTTTTGGGGCCCCCCGACACGAATTCAGTGATGTAGTCCCCATCGTCGAGTTCGTTCGTCATGTCCCCGAGGAAATCTCCGAGCGGAATGTCGGGTTGTCCTGGATACCAACGGAAGATCACGGAATCCGTGTCGAAGTACAAGGCCTGCTTCCCCAGTTTTTCCAGGGATTCGTAGAGTCTGAGTCGGGCTAGACTAGTCGTGTATGCTGCCACAAAGATATTGGTGTGGCCAGAGGTTGGTGCATTATCGTCCACGGATGTGTAGACGATCTCTAACACATCGGAGCTACAGATCCGGATCGCATTGATCTTCAGCAACGGGTCAGACACGCGTAGGAACAGTCCGGCAGGGGACGAAATAGTCTCTACACGGGGTTTGTTCATTCGTTCACCGAATTTACCCCAAAAGGAGTTCAACATAAGTTTAGCAGTAGCCTTGCGCCCCGGGTTCTTTCGGATCATGGTCGGATCTAACTGGATACCTTCGTGTTCCTTGTACTCTCGCACATACCGGGCTTTGTCTTCCTCAGTTCGTACCCAACTCGGATACCCGCCCGATTCTTGTTTGATCTTCAGCCACTTGTTGACATAAGAAGCAAACAGTCCCTTTTGTCTCTGGCTCTCAGGGAAGTGCCACACTTCGTGAATGTGGACGATGGTGTACCCGAGTTCAACTGCTTTGGCAAGTTCCGGCGTGCACCATGTTCCACGCAGCATGCGTTGCTCAGGAGTGTGGCTGCACTCGCACGAACGGCTCAGAAAGGACTCTGACATCTCCTTTTCCACGCAGGAACGGCACAAGGGGAGAACGAGTTTACCGCCCCAACGGTACGGTAGCACAGGATGATACAAATGGGACGGAGGAAGCACATCAACTTTGGCCAGCCCGAAGTAATTTTGGATGTTAAGGTCTTCGGGATTGGTGACTATTTCAGGATGGCCCACAGGATACTCTCCATACTTGTTGACCCATGGGTACATTGAGGTGACATCCACGTATTTGATTTTTTCTCCAATTGACTCATCTACCTTATGATACAGGGTGGCCGTGTTGGTTCTACCACCGAAGAAAGCGTCACGGGGATTCAGTGGTTCCACTATCTCCAACTGGGACACAAACTTTCCTAACACTGCATCATTCTTGACCTTTCTGTCCCAGTCACACTCCCACATTTCCATGACGGTGTAGCCCATAGCTCTTAAAAGAGCTGTTTTTGCCAGAGTAGCTTCGTACAATTCTTGCATGTTGCGGTCCGGGCTCAACTTACTGTACTGATTGCGCTGGGGGTAACAACGCGTACATCCGTGAAAGAGGCAGCCGTGGAACTCGTAGGCAGTGCGGGTTCTCTCATCATAGCCATCCACGTGCATGGCACGAGCGGGAGTCAGGATACTGTGCTCTCCCTGGTTTCCGGCATGAGCAATGCGGTCGGCTACAGGCTCCTCGGTATAGTTACTGGGTGAGGTGTGACGCAATTGATGTTCACACCAGTTCATCCACTTCAGAGCTTTCACTGATTGATTGTTCCTACTACCATGCCAACCACGAGCGGGCTCTACGGCAATCTTGTTAGTTTGCAGATGCATCTTTCGCCAATAACGGTGAGAGGCAGAAGCGATGGTCACGCACTTCTCCATGGGATTGAACTTCCCGTGCTGTTCAAATTCTTTCTGAAAGGCCTGGCATCCGGCTTTTAGTAATTTGACGTCAGAAATGCAATAAGCTGTCATTTCTTTCCGTAGAATGAACACGTAATCATTACGCACTTGTTCCTCGTACCATCGTTCGAACTCGGCATTCGTTTTGGCACTCATACTATCAGGATCATACATCTCACGTGGTGGCATGGGTCCTTCGTATTTTTGGTTCTCTAAAGTGTTGAACAAATGGGGAAAGAACCCCTTTTTCAGCTCGTTGAGACCAAATGTGTCAGGAAAGGAATTAAGAGGAAACGGTAGAAAGCACAACGAATCTATGAACTTTAAATTGCCACTGGTCAGCGACAAGACTTTGGATCCGACATTGATCTGATGCGTCACAGCTCGATGTTCTTTAAACAATTGCTGTAAGATGAACATCGCGTCGTATCCCTTGAAATTGTGGAACACCACGATGACGTCCCGTTTGTCGCCGTCCTCTGTCCTGGTCAGGTTATCCAAGTACTTCAGAAACTCTTTCGAGCAGGCGTTTCCGTAGAGCACCTTGGTCTCGTCTGTCTCAGCGTCTTCGGCGCAGACCATGATGGGAGTCTGCACCCCGTCAGTATCCGTCACAGCCTCGTAGTCAGCGAATACAAACAAGGGGGTTTGTTTGATCTCATCTTCAAGTTCTTCACCCTCGTTGGAGTGCACCACACGACGCGCCTGGACGTTTCTCTTCTTCCTCTTTCTCGGCTCATCATCTTTGTGGTTCACAGGTTGAATAAAGCATTTGTGAGTGGCCACTTCCATGATTTTGCCACAATTGCCACATTTATGGAAGCCGCATTTGTGCGACGATCTTCCACTCTTTCTATCTCCGCCATGAGTTGGCTTTGTCTTGGCGTTCCGCACTTGCTTGCAACACTCAGAGCACTTTTTCACGGTGTCGCACACCGAGTATTTGATCTGAGAGGCTATCAAATGATACGAGTAGCAGTCCTCCCCGTAGAATTTACGATTACATTGTTGACAGGGTACAGTGGGTTGTGGATTGTTATGACACTCGATCTTGGCAGTGACAAAATCCACACAATCCTTTCGTTCGCAGGAGAGACACTTGCGACCTTCACACGGGTGATGTTCGATGTCCTCAGTGTTGTACCCTCTATTGCAATCATGGCAATAGTATGACTTGGAGAGGAAGCCGCCAAAAGACGTGCACCCGTGGTAGTGGTCGTCAACCTTGACTAACTGAATGAGGCGTGGAGCTGGCGGTCCCTCAAAGATGATGCAGTGGGGAGAATCCGCGGAGAGGACTTTGATTTGATACTCCGGGAGTACTTCTTGGAACTTTTGTAATTCCGGAATACCGCAGGGACCAAACGGTACTCCTGCTTGCTTGTGTAGAGCTTGCGCTAAACGGGTCTGAATCGGACGACCCTGGCGAATACTTTTGTAGTTATTTCCAGTAACATTGTCATCCTTGTGACACCATGCCTGCATTGTGACGATCGCCCGAGCACAACACAATTCGTCATCGTTCTTGATTTGGATCACGGTCTGTTTTCTTGCCAAAAACTTTTCAATCGCTTCCCGACCAGGTTTTTGCTTGTTACCATTTCCACTCCCTGGGGACGGTGTATGGATAAAGGTGGTTTCCACCGTGAAGGAATCGTTAGGGGTGAACTCTTGGTTTGAGTTTAGTTTCTGAGCCAGACTCTGCAAATAGGTGTTGACTCGCTCGCTCTCCTGTCGGAACTCGAGGACCGTGAAGGTTGTCGATTGAAAGGCATGAGTGAACTGATCCGACTGCATCAGGAAATGAACCGTGCTGTGTGGCGTGAGTGTGGTGTCACGGGTGATCTCGCGATCGATGGCTCTGAAAAGGGCCGTGGTGACTTCGTGTCCCAGACTGTCACTTGTCGTGGGCCGTCGTTTCTGTTCGATACGGGCGCGGAACGTTTGCTTATGCAACACGTTGCGCCATCTCTGTCTGTGTACGGTAGGTGTGAAGTTGAACTCCAACAAGGGTTCATGGGCGCGAGACAATCCACCTCCCAGTTGCTCTTGGTGTCGATCGCGTTCCACCAAAGCTTCAGCCAAGTCAACGTCGATCTCGGGATTGAATATGCACGAGTTATCGTCCTCTCCCAGAAAAGCTTGATCGTGGTAACGTTTAGCCATAATCTACAATACAGTAAAGGAAGACGCGAAATCATTTATACAACCCAAGTGCCACGTGATTAAAATGTCTGAACTGTGTAAGAATGGGAGAAGCGTGTTGATATTCTGCTGAACAATGAAAAAACAGAGCGTTAGTGAGACAAGGACGTTTATGACACCGCCACTGGTGAACAAACAGTTTAATAGTTCGTATAGTGTGATCGTCCGGGTGAGGGTAGTTCTGAAAAGAACTGTTGTTGGTGACTGACGTTTCGACAACCTGAGCGGAAGTCATCTTNTGTTGGACCAAGTTATGTCTCTTCCTTGACGTCCGTAGTGAAGACCATTGAAGTAGATCCTCGTGTACCAGGAAATCGTGACGAATTTTCGTTCCCGCAGCCAAGCAGTGCTCTCCAGAGTTAGATTCCCCAGTCGTCAGTTCAAGTGTCCGTTCAGTCCGAAATTTACAGTGTTGCAGGAAAAACTTCTCGTCACACTGTTGCTAAGGATACTTTGTTTTTCTTCTGCTCATGGTTTTAGATTGTTAGTGGAGTGGATTCCCCAAACGCTTAATCAGAAAGCTGACTCTGAAGATTACTTCCGCTCAGGTTGTCGAAACGTCAGTCACCAACAACAGTTCTTCTCAGAACTACCCTCACCCGGACGATCACACTACACGAAATACTGATACTCCTGGGTTCAAACCATTTACTATGTTAATTAATTTCAATTAATTAATTAGTCTAGAGACAAGGAAGTGGTGGGGGTGAGGTGGGAAAGGTACACATGTACCCCATGTATAACATGCTACATCCACGCCAGTTAGAAGTAAACATCACAAAGCTATATATTTGTTTCAAGTAACCCCTTGCTCTCCTTGTGGTACTATTCTCTTTAGAACCAAAACCAATTTGCTCTAAACGCACGCGCATCGTTCTTTCCCTTTAACAAATCGAATATGGTTTAACGTTGTCTGTACTCTTATCGACAACGATATGCGTCATCACAGTGGTCAAAATGTCATGGACAACAAATTTTGACCACTGTGATGATGCATATCATTGTCGATTTAACAAATTGACGTCCGTTTTTTATGATAAATTGCGTCATAACATTGTCAAAGTGGCTGTGGAACCACGAGCCTAGCAAATTTATCATCAATAAGAGGACAGACGCATAAAAAACTGACGTCAATTTGTTTTTTACAATAACAAGACCCCAAAATGGTCAAATGCCGGGAATAAATGAGGGGAAAAGGTGCCGTACACTTGCCGTAAACAAAGATAAGTGAATTTTATTCAAAATGACGCGAACATTGTCAATAGCTTCTCTCGCTTTTTGATTGGTTACTTAAAAAGGTCAATAAAATCTCATTGGTTAAAAAGTTGACAGTTTGACAGCTGAAAGTTAAACTTGAAAGCTTGCATAAATTAAAACTTTATCTGTCTGTACTCTTATTGATGAGCCAATCAGTGCGCGAGAAATTAGATTGGTTCATTTTTTTATCATCAATAGACAGACAACGCCAAACCACATTCGATTTGTTTTTTACCACAATATCAACGTGACCGAGAGCGTGACACATTGACGTGAGCAGCGTCGTCTGGACTCTTATCAACAACTGCAAATTAGCCAATCGGATTGTGAGATTAGTAGCAATTGTGGTAAAAAGTTATATTTCGTATAGTGTGATCGTCCGGGTGATGGTAGTTTTTAAAAGAACTGTTGTTGGTGACTGTTGTTTCTCTGAAGTCCTCTTCAGAGTCAAGTGAATAATGTTTTTCAGTCAAGGGTGTTGTAAGTCCGGTCTGTTTAAACTGATTGGTCAGTTTGGCTGTGATGGTATTGAACCCATTGGTTTCTGTTATCACAGTCACAATCTCTGGGTGTGTAACTTGGCTATCTTATTTCAGACCCACTGGTTTCTGTTATCAGTCACAGCCTCTGGGCGTGTCACTTTCAGACCAAATGGTTTCTGTTATCACAGAGACAGTCTCTGACTGTGTAACTTGCCTATCTTATTTCAGACCCACTGGTTTCTGTTCTCACAGTCACAGCCTCTGGGTGTGTAACTTGGCTATATTATCTGTTCTCACAGTCACAGTCTCTGGCTGTGGAACTTAGCTGTCTTATTTCAGACCCACTGGTTTCTGTTATCACAGCCACAGTCTCTGGCTGTGTAACTTGGCCATCTATTTCAGACTGTTATCACAGCCACAGTCTCTGGCTGTGTAACTTGGCTATCTTATTTCAGACCCATTGGTTTCTGTTATCACAGTCACAGTCTCTGGCTGTGTAACTTAGCCATCTTAATTCACACCCACTGGTTTCTGTCATCACAGTCAAAACCTCTGGGTGTGTAACTTAGCTATCTTATTTTAGACCCAGTGGTTTCTGTTCTCACATGTAGTCACAACTTCTGGTTGTGTAACTTAGCTATCTTATTTCAGACGCATTGGTTTCTGTTATCACAGTCAGTCTCTGGCTGTGTAACTTAGCCACCTTATTTTAGACCCATTGGTTTCTGTTATCACAGTCACAATCTCTGGGTGCGTCACTTGGCTGCCTTATTTCAGACCCACTGGTTTCTGTTATCACAGTCACAGTCTCTGGGTTTGTAACTTGGTTGTTTTGTGATTCCAAGGATGAGGTGTTATCTGGGTCTTCTGATGCAACGACTTGTGATGCATTCAAAGATAAACCTGGTGAAATTGTCACAGCTAATTCTGTGTTGATTGCAGAAGTATTTGGTATTGAAGATATCATAGGGAAAGTTGATGATTCAAGGACAGGGGTAGATAATGCTTGACAATCTGATGTAACCTCCAAGAGCCCCAGAGTTACTGAAGATTGTTCTGACACTACAGTAGTTTCCAGTATACTGGAACTTCCTGTTGTGCAAGTCCTGGCTGAAACTGCTGTTTCTTCAACTGTTGTATTTTCCTCAGTTGACAGGTGGAGAGAACTAAGGGGGGCTTCGACAGGAGAGCCTGGAAGCATTGAATGCTGACTAAGCAAAGGGTTTGCTGTTGGAGTGTACTCAGGTGGTGGTTCATCTGGCACGTGCGGTTGGTTTTGAGTAATGCTGGAGTTTACAATCCCTTCCGGATATAATTCAGCATAGTTCTTGATGGGAGAAAAAATAAAAACAGCAAACGTAAATGTACAGAGGTTGCAGTCATCTCCTGGCTCCCAGACTACAAGATTACAGACTGAAAAGGTTTCTCTGCCTGAAGTATGTTGACCTTGACTGCTCAGTATGTTTCAGCTCAGGAAAGCCTCTCATTGACTCCAACTTAGTTTAAAAATCTGATCCCCATGACAATATAGGTTATACAGGGAAGTGTTAACTGCACCCTAGAGTACAGACCCTCTTTGTGCCTCAACTGTAAGTTGTACAACACTGTGTAGATAAATTTGTCATGTAATGTAATTAACAATGATTGATCTGTAGTGTAACAATGCAGATGAGCAACGTACTATATTGTATGATAGTGACATTGCTCTTGATCTTTTTCAGACTGTTATGTATATATTCTTGAGTCACTTGCGATGAAAATACATGTTACTATAATTCCTAAAACAAAAGCTTAAACACTGACTTATTCCTTACCGGTAATTTGTATGGCGTAAAAAACTGACAATCTGGGCTCTGTACAAAATGAACTGGCACTGGCTGTAGTGACTGTGGCACTGCTTGGAAGACCAACTCGGCCCAATTCTGTCCACCAAATCCTAGTTGTGCATCAGGTACAGCAGCAGCTATGTTCCCTTGGGTGTGGTGAGTTAAGGACACACTGCGACTACTACTTTCTCTATTGGTTATCTAGAACAGAAAGAACAATAATCTGGTCGATGTTACAGTTCAGTTCAGAAATAAACTGCCTAAAAATTTGCATAGCTGCAACAGATGTAGGTGTGATCACTGGAGAACTAAAGCTGGTCATAAAAGTACACTACAGATCAAGTCTGTGATCAAGTGACTACTCCACACATTGTTCTGGGACAAGGGACATGGCAATTCAACCCTATCTTTCTTTGCACATATCTGTTAAAATGCGTGGCTGCGGGAGATAAAATGATCGTAAATTTGATGATGCTTCTGGCTTTGTGTAATTATTTTGAAAAATGTGGTATTTAAAAGCCCTTACGGCTAGTTAATACAATTAAATGATCAAGAGAAATTTTCTTGTTATCCACTCGGCAAAATACTATTAAGGGAAATTACTAATTTTTTAAGTCGAATGTGTTTCAACCAATTTAAGTTATAACTATGTCCTTTCTGTCAATTTGAATTTGAACTTATTTAATTTGAAGACTAAACTATGGCACCTCGAAACAGAACGTTCTAACAGACTACAAAATGATTAAAGCCACATGATATTCCAGTCTTGGATGGAGACCACTCCCATGGCTGGCACATCATGGCAAACCAACCATGATCATGAGCCCCCATGCGGAAGGGGAAAAAAAGGCACCTGTCACACTGATAAAACAGTGGAGAGAGAGGGAGGGGAAGGGTTGGGCAGCACCTATGCTTAACACTTCTGAACAGAAGACCGCTTCAACACTCCTTGGTCCAGAAACATGTTGAATCCTGGAAACATGCCAACACTGATCACTAGTGCTCCATGTTGTAAAAAAAATACCCTTGTATACCATAATATCTATTCTCTGTTGTTGGTGTCACATTACACTGTACCTTGTCTGGGGACTGTGAAAAAAGCTATTATCCTGGTAACTGGGCAGTGTTTAAAAAAGAGAAAAGTTTTACTGCTTGTAGTTACAAAGATGTTGTGCACAAAAAACTGCAAGTCGAGAGATCTCTAAATTAAACTAGCATGCCTCTTTTTATAAACACATCAACATTTTACCACTTGAATAGGTTTATCATCCCTTAGGCAATGTCTATTGTTGAATGGTATTAGTACAAAAGACTTGAAAGTACATATGCGGTGACAGCTGTTTGGCAAGTGTTTCTGATGACACTGAAGTTCTAGTCTTAGGAGTGGGGATGTACATGCTGATAAAAAATGATAAAATACTATGAAACTGGAAAGAGTGAGTGTTCTGTATAGTAAGTTCCCCCACCTCCCCCCAGTGTTCCAACAGAGAACAGCAACATACATGTATTCCTGGAGAATCTACAACACTTTAAGATTTGTATAGAGAATCCAAATGCTACTCAGATTTAAATTACAAGAAATCACAGGACGGTATTATCAATGGCCTTCTGGCAACAGCATGATCTTATTCAGAAGTAGCTGAGATCAGACCCATACTCAACAAAGAAATACTGTCAGGGTTTGCACTGTTTTTGGGACTAAAATTTCAAGGACTTTCCATGGAGACTGCAGGATGCAATTCAAAATTTTCATTGACTTTATTTCCCTTAAAAATACATTGGGATGTGACACTAGATTTTTCAGTCACTTGCATTGGGAAGATAAGGCAGGCATTCGCACATTAAGACCAATATGGCGGTCCACCACACTGACAACTAAGACCAAGTTGAGAGTCTTTGGGTTTGATGTGAAGGCTGTGCTCCTGTATGGTTCTGAAACCAGGAGACTGACCAAGGGATTGCGCAGAAGCTGCAAGTGTTTATCAATAAGAGCCTGAGGAACATCCTGTGGACTTGGTGGCCTAGATTAATACCCAGTGAGGAGCTTTGGAGACAAGCAGGGTAGTGACTGGTAGAGCACGAGATAAGACAAAGAGATTTGGGTTGGATTGGCCATATACTGAAGAGACCAGACAGATACACAGCCAAGAGGGCCATAGAATGGAACCCACAGGGGAAGTGCAAGACCTCAGCACACCTGGAATTGCACAAGAATGGCAGAGTTGGAGAAGAGACAGCTCATGTGGCAGGAAGTGAACTGCGCTGCTTAACACCAGTGGATAACCAATGTTCCATTAGGAATGAAGAGGATGAGTGAGTGTGTGTGTGATAATGGATGTGGTTTATTTGTTGTCTCTTGAATGAACTGTACAATTAACATGAAACAATGAATGGTAAAGGAATAGTAAAAGGAGGAATTTGACACAAACTATGAGTTGAGGTAATTTTGATTTCATTGTGCATTTAAATAGCTCAAGCCAACTTGCCCCTAAGTTAATTCCTAAATATATTATTATGTCAGCTCTATTTCATGCAGTCTGTTAAAATGTACTTTGGTTACGTCCATGTTGTACTTTTAATTGCCATACTTGATGAACAATTTTCCTTGGTAATTGTAGTTGGCATTGTTTTCTGGGCTTTTACCTGCTCTTAATCCCATAATATTTGTACTTCAGATTACTGTTGGAGAAGGTAATTTGATGTCATGAGCCACAGTGTAGTAGAAGACCAAACTTATGGAGAAATAATATTGACTGACTATTTGGGGTATATTTTTGCACATTTTGTTACCATTTTCAGCCCTGGTTATTTGTGGTTTTTGTTTGCTTGCTACCTCCTCAAATGGCAAAATTTAGTGGACATTAGCAAAGAGCTAATTAAAAATTGTTTCCTCTTTGCTTGCCTTGTTAACCAAACAGTCAAATAACAACAAGATTTTGCAAGGACCCAGGTATACGTACTTTTCAGAGACTTTCAAGGCTCTGAATTCAAGGACATTCAAGGTGCGTGTGAAATCCTTACCACTTCATCCAGACAATATGGCTGTTTCAAAAAATTTGAATGTAGAGCAGAAAATGCTAAGAATGAGAAATTCTTTAACAACATTAAAACAAATGGCAAGCGAGTATATGTGTAATGTCAGGACTCTCAGTCTCACTGGCCATGGATTGGATCATGAGGAAGACAATTGTTATGGTAGATCAGAAAAGAGAGATAGGTTGGTAACTGTTTGTCTATAGATCAGAGTGGGACTCAACTGAATCAGAAAATTACACATGCACATCTACATTGTAGGCAGTAACAATAGCTTTGTTTTTGTTTTAATTCAATTTTAAACAAAAATTTGATAATTTTTTCTCAAATACAGGAGTCAAAGGTACATTATTTTATAGTAAAGTAAATCCGAAAGCACTCACACAAACATCTTCCTTCTTGAGAACAAGGTACTGTACCTGCTCAGTGCGGGTGAGGTCACGGCATACGTAAACTGATGCACAGCACAGCAGTATATCACTTATGTTGATGGCCAAAAGAGAGCCATACACAGCCAGGCCAATCATTCCAGCTCTATGTCTGTCTTCAAAATATTCTTCTGATCTGTAATAGTCCTCATGGTTCTTTTGGCCAAAGGTACCCTTACCCTCATAAAACTCGCGGGTCACAGTTGACTCAAACTGGTAATGCCTTATGACCACAGTGCCGATTATAATGGAGCAAATTGACAGGATCACAATAGCAACCAGAGAACATCCTAGGAAAATTCCAATCTGCAAGATTGTGATAACACTCAGGTCAAGACAACTTTATTTAATATGTTTTTAAAGCTTCCTCTCTTGTTACATACATGTACAATTATGTTGAGGAGTTATAACAAGTTTCAGCTACAATCTTGCGATGTGTTCTGTTTGAGAAGTTTAAACATGAAGTTGCCACGATTGCGTTTCTGCAGGAGTACAATGTTGTTCAGTTCCCACATCTCAGTTCTTAGACCCATCAAAACCACGAGGCAATCAAATGTTACAAATTTGTTGAACATTAATAAGATCCATGTCAGTAGCAGCAGACTACTGTACTCACTGTAAATATATGAAAGGCATGAAGGTACCTCATTGTTAATTTAGTCATCTTAATTTACAATTACATGACAGGTACCATTTGGATTGTAAGAAGACTTTGGTCTACTTTATTGCAGAGTGAATCTTTTATTAAGGTGGTTGAACGCAGTTTCTGCTGCCTGAGCTTCATTCACCTTTTCCTCCAAAACCCTCGATCCTTTGGTTGCCAAAAATAGACCCTTTTCATAAATGGCTGCCAATTTAAAATTCTTTTGTATGCATTTAAATTAGCCTTACTAAGCTCATTTCAGAGTAAAAATTCTTTTGAATTACTAACTTCAAAATGAGGTTAGTAAGGCTAAGTTTGATACTTGCAAAAGAATTTATAATTGGCCTCCATTTATGAAAGTGGTCTATGGCAACACACAAGTTATTACAGCTCAAACTTTGTTTATTTGCAGAAAGTCTAGTCCTTAGATTTTCTTCATCATTTGCATGAAACAAGCTTGTAATGATGCCCACAAGTTAACAATATTTTAATAATACTTTAATAACAGAGAGATCTGTAATTGTCCCTTTTTGAAGGATAACTGGAATATCTAAAATTTCCTCCCTTAAAGTTCAAATTGTTTCCAATACTCCAGTTACTTAGTTCCTAAAGTATTTTCTGGCCAAATTTCATGAAATCCTAATTATTAGTTCTTGAGAAATAGGCATATTTTCGAGAAAGCTATTCTGCATTCAGTCGCATTTTTTTTACTCACTTTGCATGCATAGTGTGGGCATTGAGCAAATAAAATGATTGTTGTACCAATGCCATGTTTGTTTTCTTGTGATCTTTGTGCACGCGCTCAATCGCATTAGCAAGAGCATACGTGAAAATTGTGTTTGGCCACCTAAAACATCTTTCTGTTTCCAAAAATTAACAAGTTTTGATGGAAGAGGTCTAATCAAATGATCAGCCATGTCACATACCTAATTTTCCCTACAGGTTTAAGGTCACTATATAACACTAAAAACTTGATATACATTTAACATATTATATGTTATAATTCTAATACCCTGCAAAAATTCCCAGGCTTCAATGAACTTGCCACTCCACCCAAACCTGTCAAGAGAACCTGGAAAACAGCAAACAACAAGCTTAAAAAACTTAGAGGTGGGCCTAAGGATGTGAGATCAAACTTCAGTTATTGACAGAGGTTAATTATCACAACTTTTTAGCTTAAAAGCTAATGGTGTATTGCGAATGGAACCTTTATTTACTTCTTTTTACTTTAATTTTACAGTTGAATCTACAAATCCCCATCCCTTTTTTTCAGTTGAATAGAAAATAATTTTGCGAGAAGTGTTACAAGGTTGCATAATGCTTTGTTGGTCATGTACATACATATTTTACATCTTCTACGATGCTTTGCCCTGCAGTTGCATAACGAATATTTACAGAATGAAGTCAAATGACATCTTTCACTCTGCAAACACTCCAAGGGAACAAAAATGTACAACTGTTTCAATATTGTTCCAAGCTTTTCTTTTTTTGCTTAATGGGTATATTATAAAGAACGATCAAAACTGTTCATGCTAATTGTCCAACATACAGTTGCACTTATTCAGGGGTTTCAATAAGGGCTGGGCACTGGGCAAATGTGTGGTTCCAAAAAATATTCATACTCCCCCCATGGAGGGTTTTTTCCAGGTTGACCCCCCCACCCCCCAGGATTTTCCACTCCAGGGGGCTTCACAGTAGTCCTCCCACCCTGGGGAATTTCCATGATTTTTCTACTTGGGCCCCCCTACCCCTTGGAAATTCCGTATCCATAAAAAACAAGACTTAATTCATTAATTGTAATAAAATTTAGCTGCAGCTGTTTATAGTTACACTGTAGACAAAGACGTACTTTTTCACGGTAGACTGCACACGCAGCACGTTCCTTCATGTCATGTTAAAATGTTTGAACTGGTGTTTGAACTAATAAACAACTGACTTAGAAGCGCTTCACTCCCAAATGGCATAGTAGCTGACTTTTTCTTCATTAAAGGAAGTTTTCATATAAATCTAAAGCTCTTTCAAATAACCCAGTCGAAGTTTTAATTTATGCATGGACAAAACAACATATCAAATTACTTTACACACACAATAAAGTCGTCATGCAACATTTTTTTCAAATCAGCTGTTTCCCAAATGTCACTTTATTTTTTTCTTTCACCAAAGGAACACATCAATTACATGTAAGTCATACGCTTTGACTCTGTAGTTTGTAAATGATAGTAAATTCATTTTATGCCTTAGTTTTTTGAATTGTCATACACTTCATACGTGAAACACACATTGATCAGTCGGTCTATAAATGACCAAATGAAATCTGCGCTACCACTCCAAATTACGTTCCTCACTATTCACATTTGCATACATAGTTCAAGACAAATGGCTTTGAATTGACTTTGCTCACTTAAAGGAAACTATTAACTACATGGATAACGATGAAAAATGTGATAACCTAGTTACGGCAAGTCCGAAACGGGGAATAATTTTGTACGAGTATCAAACGAAATAAACAAAGTACAAATCGCATTTAATTGACGGCATGACTAATGCTGGAAAAAGCATCTGAGCTGCATTTAAACTAAATACAGCACGATCTTCAAAGCATAAAATATCAACTTCATTGTTCATGTATTGCTGCACCTCTTTGTTGGCATTTTGTTCAACTTGATGTTCAACAAACACAATACTCAGGATTGCTGTCGGTCGTATGACGTTGGAAGAAAAATGGAAAATATATGACAAAGAATCTAACATTTATTTCTCAACGGATGGAACATTTCTGTTGGTTTGGTTACCTGAATCAATTGGAAAAGTACGGTAGTGTTCATTCAATTGCATTTCAGACCCACTGGAAAGAAAACGCCTTGAGTAGCCCCCCTCCCCTTCGAAAATTTACCTCTTTCAGACCCCCCTACCCCTCTGAATTTCTGTGACCCTCTTGTGTGTGTGTGTGGGGGGAGGGGGGGGGGGAATGGATATTTTCTGGAACTACACAATTGACAGGCTGTGCAGACAATTTTGCCAGCCTGGTTTGACCACCCAGATAAAAGTTTTTCTCTTCAAAATGTTTTGCCTGGCTGTGAAAACCAGTTGCTGCCTCCCGCTAAAAATGTTAACCCACTGAGGGCCAATCAGACGTTTTCATCCGCTGCAGGGGCATGCACTTTGTACCACTTGTGACATCATCAATTTAGGCGTCAATAGACATTCTTGATTAGCAGATAAAAGAGCTAGGAAAGCTCACAAAGCTGTCCATTTTTGATATCAACCACATTCTGATGTAACTAATTGAAAACATAGGCACACAAGACGTGCAAGAGTTATTTTCTTTTTTGTGAAGTCTCGGAGATAGGAGTATTCATGGAACTGTTTACAAGAAAGATTTGGTTAATTTGACAACTTTTTTTGGTTGCGATGAGCAGCAAGAAAGAAAGTGGGAATTTATGATGTACATACGATGTTAAATCGGTAATGGTAAGATAGCTAAAAAGTAAGCCATAAAATGTTTGACTGAACAAACTACAGTAATCTGACACGTCTCCAGATTAATATAGATACCATCTTATTTTTTTCTTTGATTCATCATTGATAAAACCCACACTGTAATTCGTGTGACACGTGCATATGCGTAACTCCCTCACTCACCGATCACAAAGCCCTTCCAACCCCCAAACTCCTTGTGAAAAACAAAAGTATCAAGTTACCTTTGTAACTAAAAATAAAAATATCTCGTTGCATTTGCGTACTACTAACTCACAAACTGTTTCAAACCTCAAGGCTCATTTTGTTCGTAACTAAAATCCTCAGCCTAACCCACAGAAAACGTCGAAGTAAGCCCAATATATGAATACTTCCTCCTCTTTTATAGAAGAATAAATATGGCCGTTCTAAACTGTGTCGGGGTCAGATCTTCTCACATACCTTTTACCTTTACAACAAGAAATATGATTGGCTGTTTATAGTAGATCCAATCTGATTGGTGTGACATACATACATCTCTCACTCACTCACTCACTTATCCATTGACCTGACATACCCAATGCGCCGACTAAGAGGTATTTTTTTTCACAAAATGATAACTCAAAAACTGTGAACAGCTTCTGGTACAAAATTGGTGATAAAATGGCCCATTACACCTAAAATTAATCAAGGTTCCATTTCCGGGCTTAAAATATAATCAACAATCAAACTTTTTTGGCTGTCAGAAAGGATATGAAGAGCAAAAGCTAGCATGAGAGAAAGGGGAGAGAAAAAGGAAAGGAAAAGGGCAAGAAAAAAGCAATCGAATCACACCAGCAAAAAAAAAAACAACAACAAACAAAACAAGTCCAATTTTTGGCTCATGCACATGCTCCAAAGTAAAACATTGTACATTTTGGTACCTACCCTGGTGAAAATCGTCACAGGATCTTTGAAGATCTTTGAAGATCTTCAGAGACCTGCCAAAGATCCTTCAGGATAACGATCTCAAGATAAGGATCTTTTAAGGATCCTTTAAAGATCTTTAAAAGACATTCAAAGATCTTTCATGTAAAGATTTTTCAAGGATCTTTGCTAGGATACTTCCAGATCCTTGAAGATTCAGTGAAGATCTTTCAAAGATCTTTAAAGAATCTTTTGAAGGATCTTGTGAAGATCTTTGCTAGGATCCTACAAGATCCTTGAGGATTCTATGACGATCTTTTAAAGATCTTTAAGGGATCTTTTGAAGGATCTTCCAAAGATCTTTGCTAACATCCTTCAAGATCTTCAATGATTTGATCAAGATCTTGCAAAGATCCTTGGTAAGATCCTAACAGGATCTTTACTAGGATCCTTTAAGATTGAGGATTTTATGAGGATCTTTCAAAGATCTTTAAAGAATCTTTTGAAGGATCTTGCAAAGATCTTTGCTAAGATCCTTCAAGATCTTCAAGGGTTTGATCAAGATCTTGCAAAGATCATTGGTGAGATCCTAACAGGATCTTTGTTAGTATCCTTTAAGATCCTTAAAGATTTAATGAGGATCTTTAAAAGTTCTTTAAGAAATTTTTGAAGGATCCTGCAGAAAATTTTGCTAAGATCCCTTAAGATCTTCAAGGGTTCGATCAAGATCTTGCATCTTTGGTAATGTAATTGCTAGGATCCTCAAAGCTCCTAGATGAGGATCTTTCAGAGATCTTAATAGGATTTGTTGAAGGATCTTGTAAAGTTTGTTAGACTTTCCAACAGGTATGACTTTATCTTGTTCAATGTAAGACTGTACATGCTCATCAGCTTGTCTGCTGATAATAATTTAGAACACCTTAGAACCAATTTTAATAATAATTATTGTTACAGTTTACCTTTACAAAAACATTAACCTTATTTTATTTCTATTTTATGGCTATTTTAATGCTATTACATTTATTTTTGTCCTATCGTATTCATTTATTTTTGTCTTATTCTTGAAAAGTTCTATTTTATTCCTAGCTTACCAGATAAAGAAAATAGGGCTTCTATTTTATGTGTTTTACAGTAATTCTTAATGTATTTTTTATGCAAGATAGAAACAAGTGAGGTATTCTATTTCCGTAATATTTTTTCATAACATCCTGAAAAATAACCTGCAAAATAGATTAATTTAATGCCATGTTCCATTCTTATTATTGTTACAGTTTACCTTTACAAAAACATTAACCCTATTTTATTTCTATTTTATGGCTATTTTAATGCTATTACATTTATTTTTGTCCTGAAAAAAGAACTTGAAAGGCCTCAAAGATAAGGTAGGTGGTTTATAACGAATAACATCAATTTGCATTCTATCCAATGAGACACATAAACATTTGGGTGCTAAGACTACACAATACGGACTGAAAATCACTTTTAAAGTGGTACTATGACGAAAATCGCATCTCTCCTATCTAAGCCATTTTAAAACATAAACAAGTAGTCTTTATGACAAAAAAAATGCCGTTTACTATTTTCAAATGTCTCTTTTCGTTCCTGAGATATTCAAGTTTTTAAAATATGCAAATTAGCGAAATGATGATGTCATACACTCAACCAAATTTTGATCAAATATGAAGAAAGATATCTCAGCCAACTTGTATC